AATACACAATTATTTTGGTTGCATAGCCAGATACAGATGACTCTAATCACAGTTGAGATTTTCTTTTCAAGAAAAACCTTTTATCCCTTCTACCACACTTTCTTGTTCTGTCAGAGGTATCAGCAGTAAACACAGATTTCTGGATTTCTCTGAAATCAATCTTGATAAGATGTTCTCTAGCCAAAATGTGCTATTGATTTTTGAGGGGAAAAACTCTAATCTCTATGTTTTATTTAATTCCTGGATGGTAAAATATCCTGAAGTAGCATTATCTTGCAGCTCAGAGAACTAGATATTCTTGATGGGCAAATGTCCTATGGACATTCTATCTGACTAGGGTGTTCTTTCCCCAAACAAGGACTGGATTCTACATTTAGATGGTGAATGTTCAGTTCCTTCCTTAGAGCATAATGTAGCATTCTACTAGGTAACAGAACTTCTTTTTTGGCTTTTCCCTTCATGTGCTTCAAAACTGATCTAACCACCCAGGGCTCTTTGAACTCAAAGGAAGCTCTGAACCCAGGGAAACTGATGTCTGGGGCAGGGACTCTCAAGATAAATGAGACAAACAGAAAGGAATGTTAGGAGAAAAATAGAGTTGAACCCTTTGAATGTCATGCACCACGTTGATGCCCCCATCCTTGAGAGTATCTCGTACACAAATCAGCAAGTCATGACTGGTGGAAAAAGAAGAGAATAAATATACAATAACAAGGGGTTCATAGAGTTGAATTCTGTCTGGACCAGGAAGTGAAAGGTCATACATCAATGTAACAATTATTCTGTCTTGATTAGAGATGCCAACATTGAGTCAGGTGACTAAAGGTCAAAAAGCATAAAATCTGACCTTGGATTTATCACTTATTTTGGTTTTCCCATCCCAATACGATATTGGAAAGATTAGTTTGGGTTAGCTTTTTGCCTGTTAAGGTCCTGAGCTCCAGGAATATTAACATTTGTAGTTAGAGTGAATTGATCATATTATGGGACATTTAAACTAATCAAAATCAGATTATACATTAAACTGCTATACAACAGGCTCAAAAGTATATACCTAACCATTGCCTAATTCCTTGAAAATTCTGCATTGTTTCATGTAAAGTGAGAAAATACAAAGGCTAGGATTAACTACTAATAGCTAAAAATGTAGGGAGTCTATTTCTATTATCTGTTGAAACCTAGAAAGAAAAAAATCATAGGATATCATCTATTTTCATTCACAGCATTTTATCAAGCCATAATAGGATATGACTCATGGATTTATAACTAAAATATTAAATACGTAAACTGTCTAATGTCTTTATTAAATACACTTGCAAGTATTAGGAGTGTTTAAGTCACTCTTAACATGGACATACTTCACACATACCAGGCATAACTTCCTTGCTCAAATGTGTTTACACAGCTGTAAATTCTCCAAATTAAAGATCAATCAGGAAGAGTAAAAATATTGCTGTGAGAATAAGTGGGTGAAATTTAAGTGCTAGGAGAAAATTTCAAAGGGCTTCCTGTGATATGACTTTAGGTGGGATCAAGTTTGTGGTTGATTTTCTTTTTTTTTTTTTTTTTAAAGATTTGATTTATTTATTTGACAGAGGAATAGAGAGCACAAGTAGGCAGAGCGGCACGTAGAGGGAGAAGGAGAAGCAGATTCTCCGCCTAGCAGGGAGCCGGGTTGTTGGCCTCAATCCCAAGACGCCAGGATCATGACCCAAGCCGAAGGCAGCCGCCAAACCAACTGAGCCACCCAGGCACCCCGTAGTTGATTTTCTTAATAGTAATTCTGTTTTAACATCTCCCTAACTGTAACAGTTTCTCTAATTCATCGAAGGTATTGACCAAGTTATCTGTCTCTACCACTACTGTTCCTAGATTTTAAAATGCCCAGCTGGACAATAATTACCTATGCGCGTGAGCACACACACACACACACACACACACACATACTACTGTAGCCTACAGGTTATTTATACACAATTTGAAATCCTCCTTTTTTTCTATTGGAAATGTTCAATGTACACCTAACTATCTGGGTTTTAGCAAATTTATTCTTGTTTAAAAGTTCAATTTAATAATAGCAAAATGTGCAATTTCGTATAACGTCTATTCCTGCTTTAGGCAAAAGATGGATTGAAAATAAAATTATATTTGACTTATGAAAATGCTTGTGTCAAACCTGAATGGATTGACAAAATTATATTTATGACCCATAATAGCTGTGAAGTATTAGCCATTTGGCTTCTCATCTATTGAAAAATTTATCATAAAATGTAAAAAAGAAAAACTAGCCTTCTTTGAATTTTTTTCATATAGTAAGACACATGCTATTTTGATTTAAGCTGCATATTGTTGGAAGTAAGTTGTGAAATATATAATTCTGCCAAGGACACAGAAGGTAATTCAGTCAAGAGTAATTGTATCAACTTCTAACTCAGATTAAATTTGATTTTTTGAGCACTGAAAGTGAGGTCATAAAGAGTATTTTTAAACCTACACTTGTTCAATTATCACAGTTGAGTTTTTATACTAAAATATATTTATCATAATCAGAATAAATTTAAACTTTATATTTAATTAAACAAATGGCTTAGGGTCAAGGAAGTATTTTGAGTTTAATAAAACTTTGCTGCATTTTTACTCACTTTGAAAGGAAAGCTTAATTTGTTTCTTTTTATGTTTTATAGTTTTATTATAAAAATGATATAATTTGAAATGAATGTTTCAAAGGAAAAACAGCTATCAAAATCTTGATCTATAACTATTGTCAATATTACATATTATCATACGGAGATTTAGGGCAAAGTTTCAACCTATTTGTATATATCATGTCAATTATGAACATTTGCAAAGTACTTAAATTTTTCTTCTAGTTTCTTCTAGCAAATCAAAAATTCTCATCGGGAGCTCTTAAATCTTTCACATTGGGAAGGGAAATAATATTTATCTAGAGTCTTTTATGCCATGCTTTCTGGAAAGTATATATGCATAATCATTACTCCTACTTTATGGGCACGGAAACAAAGGATAGATGTGTCTAATTAGTAAATTACACAACTGGAACCCAAGCAAAATGTGCTCAAGACACCCAAGCCTTCGAATTACAGGCTAATGCTTTGGGGGGTTGGCTTGCTCTTGACAGTTTTAGGATTACAATTCTATTTGGGGATCTCAGCTTCTGGGTGTGGGGGGGGGGGTTGTTTGTTTGCTTGTTTTTAGGATTTGATTTATTTATGTGACAGAGAGAGAGTGAACACAAACAGGGGGAGGAGCAAGCAGAGGGAGAGGGAGGAGCAGACTTCCTGCTGAGCAGAGAGCCTGACATGGGGCTCCATCCCATGACCCTGGGATCACGACCTGAGACAAAGGAAGATGCTTAACTGACTGAGCCACCCTGGTGCTCCTCAGCCTCTGTTTTATCAAGCAAAAGCTTACAAAACAAAACCAGAAAACCTTACACTAGCCTTTGTAGAGTTGTTTATTCTCTGTTACTATGAAGGATTTAAGACCTTAACACTGAGGCAATGGTCTCTATTTTCTTTTTTAAGATTTTATTTATTTATTTGACAGACAGAGATCACAAGTAGGCAGAGAGGCAGGCAGAGAGAGAGGAGGAAGCAGGCTTCCCACTAAGCAGAGAGCCCAATGTGGGTCTAGATCCCAGGACCCTGGGATCATGACCTGAGCCAAAGGCAAAGGCTTTAACCCACTGAGCCCACCCAGGCACCCCAATGGCCACTATTCTTAACAATAAGCAAATCAAATGGAAGTTTTAGGACCAATGCAAATTAACATAAAGCTCTCCAAAGAATCTGGGCCCAGAAATTTTATCCCTTTACGAATCATTTCACAGTGAACCTTCTATGTAAATTGTCCTCCTCTTTGGTGTTATTTTCTCCTTGGTAAGTTGAAGTAGAGGCCAGTTTCTTTCTTTCTATTTTTTTTCCTAGATTTTTAAAATTTATTTATTTGCCAGAGAGGAAGAGAGAACACAAGCAGTGGGAGCACCAGGTTTTCACTCTTTTTTTTTTTCTTTACTCTTTTTTTACTCATTAACTCAGTTCATTGATTTCAATTTTCTTGTTCGTTTCATTTAAAGCTGTTTTCAACATTATTTTAACCTGATTTTTTTCTTACCTTTTTCCTTCTCTATCAAAAATTAGGAAAAGTGTCAACTATCTCTTTCCTTCAAAAAGTATCAAGCACCATACTCTCATTATGTGCTTATAATAATCATGAAATAATATATGGACTACTTGCGTGGCTCAGTCAGTTAAGGATCCACACTTGATTCCGACTCAGGTCATGATCTCAGGGTCCTGGGACTGAGCCCCAGGTTGGTCTCTGAACTCAGTGGGGAGTCTGGTTGAGATTCTCTCCCTCCCTCTCTGTCTGTCACTGGCCCCTTCCAGCCCAGAGCGCATGAGCACAGCACATGCTCTCTCTATCTCTCTTTCTTTCCTCTCAAATAAATAAATTTTCAAAAAGAAAGGAAAAAAGAATATATGCAGAAAAGAAATCTGAGCACTCAGGGAAAAAAACTGTCCAAAGGACTTAGTTCAATGCTACAACTTATTTAAAACAAAAAAATTATACACTCTAGACACTTTATTCTAATAATCTGCCACAATGATCTATTTGGAAACAAAGATTGATTTAGTAAACCATTCTTGGCCAGATTTTTTTTTTCATCCCCTGATGACGTAAATATTTCTGTGCTAAATTTGTAATCAATACATCAGACTAAACCAGTTTATACACAGTCCTTGTTTTGTATCAATACCATCAATTTCCATAACCTTCTAGTTAATTAGACTTACTGAAAGGATTATGTAATTTACGTAGAGTACAAATAATATGTTGTCTAATTAAAATGCACCCTCTGTGTTTTGTTAACAGACATATTAATATGCCCATTGACAACAAAAATACTAAAATTAAACTCCGTTCATTTCATAAATGAAATCCACTCCCTGAATGATTTTTGCCTGGGGATCTTTTACCTTTGGAGGCTTGTTAACATCCATGCCCTCTCTGAATTTCTCCTGAACGGTTTCTGCAAGTTGACAGAGCAAGGCACCATTATCCAATTTTTCCATAAAAGTTTCTGCTGTAATCTCCTTCCCTGCAGTAATAAAGAGAAGCATTATAGATACACAATCATTCCCCAGTGCAAATGTGACATACATGCCAGCATATTTGACACAGTTTTTATCACCAAAATTTCTATTCCAGTTGAGTTACAAATATCTGGGATGGGAACTCAAGGAAAAGAATGGTTTCTTTGGAATTTTATGTTTTCCTTTGGCAGCAAGAATCTCAACATTTTATATTTTCATAACATACTTTCAACTGCATTAAAGTTTTATTTCATGGTAAAAGTGGCAAAGTGATATCCTACGTGAGAGTCCCACCACTTGGCAATCAAGAGGAATAAAAACCAACCAGTCAATGAAACCCAAACAGCTTTGTCAATGATTGTACAATTTGACCCTCTGATATTCATTTAGTTCTCATCCTCAATAGCCCGTTCAGTTACTCTGGGAAGCAAGGCAAAGACAAAAGCAGAACAGACATTCTGTGTTTTGCTTATGTCTTTGGTTATAAGACACCAAAGCTCTCTTCTCTTTAATTTGAAATAGAGGAAGGTACATCAAAATTCAGCCACCATTGGCAACTGTACTAGCATGGCCAATGCATAAATCGCACTTCTAAGTTCTATCGAGTGTGTTTCCCTGATTAAGATATTACAGGTAAAACCAATACAAGGGATAAACTCTGAAAGAAAGTCTACCTCTCTCACCACCCATCTTCTTACTACCATCTTTGAACTACAGATTATCAGTTTCATCTCTGCTCTTCTCTCTTCTCCAAACCACTCAGCTTCTACTACTGCTCATTTGAACATTAGTCACAGTTGTCTATCCCTGACATTTAACCAGTTAAAGGTTGTCTTCTTTCTTATATTCTCCCAAAACATATTTTGTTCTTTTTTCCCTTTAATTTTGTAATTAATTTTGTAATTTTTATTGTGACGTAATTCACCTGCCTTACAATTCACCCATTTGAAGTGTATAATTCAGTGGCTTTCAGTACAGAGTTGTGCAGTCATCACCACAAACAATCTGGACATTTTTATCACCTCCAAAAGAAACCCTCTACTCTATACCTGTCACTCCTGATTCCTTTTTTTCCCTCAGCCTTATAAACCAACTAATTTTTTTCTTATATGCTTCTTAAATTCATTTCCCCCAAAGCTCTCTCCTTTTCCTAGTACTCTAATTTTCTAAGTTTTGGCATATTTTATTTTCCTGGCTTAATTTCCTATAACATATTAGTCACAAGTCCTGTAGATTCATGATTCTTTCTGTTTCTGGTACCATAATCTTAATAAAAATTTTCATGATTTGATACCTAAACCTCTAACAACAAAAACAACGGCTCTTCACTGTACCCTCAACTTCTCTCTCCAATACACATCATATTCATGGCTAAAATTATGACTGCTAAACACCAGCCTCATTGGGTCATTATTCTTCCTCATTGTATAGTCCCTAGTCTTCTCTGCCACCCAAAATATGAAATATAACCACTTGAACGTATCAAAAGACTGACCCTTATGCTTCTAATTCACCTTTCTAATTTAACATCCTTATAGTCCCCCCTGATTCTTGGTCAGCACCCTGGCTTCAGAGTCCTCCAGCAAGACTTCCCAATCCTACTGCCGTGCCTTTCTTCCTGGCATGGCCCCTGCCTACTATGTCCTCCTCCCTTATACCTACCTGACCAAGTTCTCTCTTTCCTTTAATCAGAAATCCAGAAAGAGATTTTCCTAGTGGATACTGATCTCTTTTCTATGTGGTCGCACCCAAGGGCATCACTCATTTTGGCAACTTATCAAACCTCTTCTATTGCTAGTAATATGTTTTGTGTAAAGTTTTGTCTTCCTCAAACCTCTTGGGACATATTGTGTCTGTATGTCTGTGTGTGTATCTGTGTGTTCCTACAGATTTAAGTATGTTGTTATCTTGGTAGGCACCTAGAAAATGTGTTCAGTGAGCATATAAAGTTACAAATGAAGAAATAAACTACTGGAAAACTTTGAGAAAATGTTGGGTACTATTTTTGGAAAAAGTAGTTAAGTTCAAGCAAAAAGAAAAAGTTTTAGACAGAGAATCTCATGGGATTAGCTTTTATCTTAAGAAAAAAATGCATGCAGCTCAAACCCATGAACATTCAAATATAATCCAACTGGAAAACAGATAAACTATTGGCTTAAAGTTCAACTTACAATACGTAATATATTTGGATTTCAAGAAATATCTGTTTGAAAAATTTTTTTGACCGTTTTGAGGGAAGGGCAGGTAAAGAAGGAAAGAAAATTACCTTTTTAAAAATGTTCTTTTTCCCCCACAGGATACTTTGCATTTGAGCCCCCCCAGTTAAGATAATGACTTCTGCAGGTGGTAAAACATAGTAGCTCTAACTACTCACCACAGAGGTAGCCTGTACGAAACTGCTATTATTTTTAAATTGTACACAGCTCAACTTAATTCAGGAATGAAAGTAATATTTTCAGGATACAAAAAGTCAGCACAACAAAATTTGTATTATGCATTCACCATATTGGCCTGCATTCCCTAGTAAGAAAGTTATTTTGGAAATAAGTATGAAAAGTAATTAGAAATATTTTCAAAATTACCAATTAGATTTCAAGGTAAAGAAGGTAGATTTTACTCCAAATTGCTGAATGATTCCTTTATAAATTACTTACAAGATTCTCTATATTTGAAAAAGGCCTTAGGTATTTGTATTCCGTAATGTTCCATGGCAATTTAAAGATTCTATTTATAATGTTAAATGACAAGATGATTACAATGAATTTAAAAGAACTTGTAAAGTATAAAAAGAAAAATGCCTTTCATTAAAAAGTTATTAGCAATTTACCAAAAGGAATGATTTTTGCTTCTTGCATTATACCTGACAATTTTTATTTATTCTGATTTTTATGACTACTTGAAGAATTCACATTAAATGTCTGTATCTAATGAAACATATATTAGGAGTTAGCTTTCAATTCTGTATATTTTATAGCTCCAAAAGGTGGATTTTTTTGCTAAAACAGACAGTGTTACATAATAGTTGAAACATACTGCCTCAAATGAAGGGAAAATGCAAGATGGAGAAGTTTTTTTAATCTTCATATGTAACATATTTTCCATCCAAAGAATCATAAAATTATTTTAAACATACTTTATAATTGTAAGAGGTCAATATAATTTTTATATAGATTATATATTACCTCATTCTTATTACATTAATATTACCAAAATAATTTTAAAAATCATTATATAAAGTTAGCTCAATTTAACCATGACAAGTCCATTAGAGCAAGTTATATGAAGCACTAATTACAATTTCTTGAGTAAACATTATAAAAAGCTAAATATCTCTGTTAGGCAAAACCAGATCTTCTTTAATCAGAATTGTGTAGCTCTTTTGACACATTAGATTATAACCACTAGATGCAGTAGGATTCTAGAATCGTAGGACCACTTCTTCCCTAGCTCTGTCCTTCCATGTTATTGGTATATTTCAGAAAACATAGGGCAATGACTAGATACAATTAAGTAATCTTGGAGTACAAACTGACCCACACTGGAATGTAAAGATTATTAACTTGAAGGTTTATCTAAAATAGCCTAGTCTAGGGGTGCTGGGGTGGCTCAGTTGGTTGAGCCTCTGACTCTTGATCTCGGCATAGGTCTTGATCTCAGGGTCGTGAGTTCAAGTCCATGCTGGGTTCCATGCTGGGCATGGAGCCTACTTAAAAAAAAAACAAAAATAGCCCAGTCTAGTAGTAATATCTTTACTTCTTGAGTTCATAATCGTGGCCTTTCATCTTCATATCACCAATTTAGTCACGACTGGCAGCTTGCCAATAGACAAAGATCAGGGAATTTGGTTAAAGATTGTGGTTAGTCACTTTCTCATAAAATGCTGGGGCCCAATCATATGAAACAAAGATCTGCCTGAAATTTTTTGTCAAGTAACTAAATCAGCACACATGCTTATAGACATCAGTACATTCCTCCCAGAAGTATGCACTTGCCATAATTTCCATAATGATTAAGTAGCAATCAGTAATGTTTTAGACTGCATCCACCTGGAAAAAGAATCCTTCTTATCTTCTACTTCGCTGAGAAAGAAAGTTTTCCTCCCAGTACGTTAGCAGTACTAAACACAGGTTCCTAAAGGTACAGTAACATCTAATAATGCTGTTTAACATTCGAGGTTTAACTGTATGCCAGGCGCTTTATATGTATCCATGTTTTTAATCTCCTCACCAATCTGTGAAGGGGGTGCCATTATGGTACCCATTTTACAGATGATGAAACCGAGGTATTAGATTAAGTAATTTGTTTAAAATTACTCAGTAAATCTGGATCTTTAACCCATGATATCTCGGTTTAGAGCCTAATGCTCTTAGCCTCTATGCTTGGCTACTTAAAACAAATACTTGCTAAATGCACCAATGACTATTTTCTATAATAAAGCAGTCTCCCTAATTCTGTGCTCTTTTTCTTTGTAGAACTCCAATGAAACCTTTCTGAAACAATAACAAAAACCACTTGGGGATAAAGATACTGTTGCTAAAGACTGAAGAGCAGTCCACTGTGTACATCGGAGAATGGCTGAGGAAGTCATTCCGGATGCTCTGATGAAAGTCCTGATTCCCTGCAGAAGAAAACTGATGCATATTATCTCTTAAGCTGATGTAGACAGGACCCAACTCTACTGCAGACTCAAGTGCCCTTCTCTATCCCAGTATATTTCTCTAATTGGAGAACTCAAAGCAACTCATCTGCTGTCTTAATTTAAGATTATTCAGGGTTTTGAAGATAGGGAGATAGGAAATGATTCATTATATCCAGAAGCCCTAGATCAGTACCTGCTCTCCCCTGATTCAAAGTATCTATCTGGCATTAATGTCAAGAAAAGACAAAGCTGTTTCTGTTGGAAGAGTTGGGTTAAAAAAAAAAAAAAAAAGTGAGGCATTATCATCTCTGAAAGGTGTTAATTTGTGAACATAAATTTGATGCTTTAATCTTTTGAACTAGCATA